GCCGCTTTTCTTTTAGAGCTCGACTCAAACGCATCATCTGAAGTCGATAGCGAGCTCCCGTGATAGTTTCATTAGGTTTAAGCAGCTCATAATAAATTACGCCCTGCTGATCCCACCAAATGCAGAGCAGAAGTTTCGAACCATGGATATTCGGCTTTGCCGACGATGTTGATGCATGGCCGGGCTTACCCCACGATTTTCTACGCTTAGGATTATCGTAGTGTATCCACTTTTCATCTCCAGTGATGATACGGTGCAGAAAGCCTTTTCTTTTATGCCGTTGAAGCAGCAATTCACACATGAGAAAACGTCGTTCAACGTCTCTCGGCTTCAACTCATACGGCACCCAATGTCCTTGCTTTTGGATCATTCCTAACGCTTTTAAACGTTTTGAAACTGTTGACGCATCTACTTGCAATGTTTTCCCGAGCTCTACTAGCGTCTGACATGGATCTAGATCAAGCAATGCCTCCAATTCTTCGTCTTCAAACTTTGTCGGTGCTCCAGAACGTTCTTTATCTTCAAGGTCAAAGTCATTATTTTTAAAGCGCCTAAACCAGTCTCTGCATGTCGTATTCGACAGAGCATTGTCACCATATGTTTCAACAAGAATTCTGTGTGCTTCAGCTGCAGATTTCTTTTGAATAAAGCAGTGCAATAAAATTCCCCGCACAAAACACTTTATTTGGCACAAAAATAGACATTTTCGCAATAGGTAATTAAACACGTGGTTGACACTGTGGTAAACTGTATCTACTAGAATTTGAGGTTACATATAGTACTACTTAGCTGATGCGTTTCCGTACGAAATTCCATGCACAGAGTGCCGCTACGCCATCTTTTAAGAAACAGCGAGAACTTATTCAAGGACCTAATAAAATAATACATTTATCTTGTAATACATTTATCTTATTAAGTCATTTTCAAAAAATATAATTTAATAGCACAAATCTTTATGATTACATTATGTATGTAAATTATATAAAATTAAATTAAAATAAAAAGAATTGTATATATTCTATTTTCTTTTTTTATTTTATAATATCTATACTTTATTGTATTGGTAAATTAATCAATAAATTTTAGTTATCAAAAATTAGCAAAGATTTAAGTAAGTAAAGCATTATTATTAAAATTCGTATCATTTTTATCTATCATATTTAATGCTTTATCAAGTAGAGGTCTAACAGTAAAATATAGCAAATTATGTTTTATATATCAATCGCCAAGATATGTGAAATTCAAATATTGCGGCTATTGTTTTTTAACTTTATTATATAATTATATTGTTTTGTTTTTTCACTTTAATATTAAATGAGAGATAACAAAATAACTTAATAAAGAATTAAATATTATTTTTCATTGCGTTTTTGTTAATGTAATATTAAGAGAGAGTTAATAAAACAAATAATTGTTTATATACGATGTAGATACATACTGCAAAGCGCGTTGAGGAAAATGATGTGATATACGGTATCCATATTAAGAATTTGTTGAACTATTTTCTTCTAAACTTAACAAGACCAGATAACTTCTTCATCCAACCGATAGTTATCAAGGTTGTAATATTATTTCAATTGTCTGAAATAAATAAGTATTTTGGATTTGAGAAATGCGAGATATGATACTTATGATAATCCATACATTTTATGAAGTAATAGAGGATAATAATTTTATAACAATTCATGACCAAATTATAATTAAAAATACTGAGGAAAGAATTAAAATTGAATTTAGAACTAGAACGTGTAATAATATTTGTGTAAATGGAATATGATTCATGTTGTGTAAAAAAAAAGATGGTGTTTATATTAATTTCTTAGGAAGGTCGGAGCAACTGAAGAACTCAGAATTTCACGCAATGTAAATCCACAGTAGTTTACATTTTATTTCAAAATTTTACCGAAATTAATGGTTCAATTAGAAAATAAAGGCAGAACATTTTAATATAAATATTCATTACAATCATAATAATTAATTAATGTTAGACGAATTAAGAGAATATTGTATTTTCTGATAATAGCTAATTTGAATATTTAACAGTCTCATTATAAATATTTGCCAAATCATTAACATACATCACACAATTTAAATTAATGCGATTAGTACATTCGAATTATAATATATAAATTATAACGGTCGATATATAAATAATCGCTAAATATCGATAAATATAAAAATCAAGAAAAAGACAAATTTTAAAGATTTAGTAAAATTTTACGATAGCCACGTATCGGTTTTATTGCGACAAAACAATTAATCAAAAATCTTGAAAACAATTAAAAATTAAGAAAACTGCAGATCTAATTAAATAACAATATTAACAATTTTATTACACCAAACTTATAAATAGTGATATCAAAATTTACGAAGACGAAACAGTAAAGAAGAAATTTGCAAATTTGCTAGTTTAACAATAATGAGAATAATATAAATCATAAAATAAACAAACTAATAATGTAAAGCGATATTTAACTATTTCAAGAAAAGTAGACATTAATTTCAGTTTACTCACCTTGCCAAGTCGTGATCCGTTCGCTTCAACGTTCCGTACACTAATTAGTTGATAGTTATTGGCTTCGGGAGACTTCGCTTACGGCAATACGAGTCGGTACGCGCTTGCGCAATAGAAAAAGCGGTTTTTTAGAAATATGAGCTAAGGTCCGTGGGTTTGCTAAGCCCAAATGGCTATGCGGTTCAGCCATCCTTGCGGAAACGTTCTGTACACGTGTGTGAGCACTCGGGCCGCGCGGTTGTGCGCACACGTACGTGTGACGTAGCGGTTCTCGCTTGTGTGCATGCTTCCCCTACCACAGTGCCCTGGTGCTACCCGGCTCGAGTTTGCATCACTGTATGTATGGATAGTAGCCATACTCTCTACTTAGCTCTACGTTATACCTCACTCTAGAAAAAAACTTTAATAAATGCTTTTTACAAATCTTTTATACCCCACATCCTAACAAAGACATTTGCAACAATGCTTTTTCAATGGCCTTTCCTTAAATAATGTTCACAAAAACTTTCTTTAAAAAATTTCTTCCATTTGATCCCACACAGAAAAAGATATATATAAAGATAATAAAAAAGTATTCAAAGACATATAATTCATGAATAACAATCAGAAATCTTATAATAGTGAGAAATAAACAACTTACTTAACTTTGATTTTAATATTACAAGTTCGTAGTAAAATTACACGTTAAGATACTAAGAATTACATCTAGATGCTAAGACATAACACAAGCACAGAAAGAATCAAACTTTTACCGATGTTTTATTACAGTCACAACTGGTCACAACAGAAGCTTATAGTATTAAAAGTTTTATAAAGCTACTGAGAATATTTACCTTTAAATGTTTGCCTAGTTCTGTAATGCATTCAAAAACGTATCCTTTTAAATCTTGGGTATAGAATACAGCCTAAATTTAAATGTGTGATTCTTCAATATTGTTTCCTTCTTTTTTAAAATTTTAATATTGATAAATTCCTGCAATAAATGAGTTACTTAAGTGCTAAGAAGCAGAAATTAATACATTGTATAAAATTTATTATATACTAACTTTCTGATTCCATTAACAATATTTTCAAGCGTGGCAGAAATTGCCGTTTGTCTAAAGTGCTTCATTTCCGAGAAAAAAATTGATTTCCTATAAGATCGACTTGTGCATGTCTCGTGAATGAAGTTAATAAGCATGTTAAAGGCTTCTGTATAATCATCCATAAGTAACTAACATAAAAGAATGAAAAATTTATAATGAAGAATAATATAATGTAATTAAGATTTTTATGAAAATAATACATTCTCACCACGAAAGCAAAGAACCCAGGATGATTTTCATGATAGTCCAAGTACAAGTTTCTACTTTTTATAACAAGTTCAACGTACGTATTTTTTAATTCTGCTGCTTTTTCCTCCTGCGACATTTCCTCTTCATCCTAATTTTATATAAGATTAAACAACAATAAGTTAATACTTGACATTATATCTTTTTTTTAAATTTAACAACAACTTTTCTATTGTTGCTTTTTATATTTTTTGTATATAGCAGATATTACAATTTATTGTTCTTAATTACCCTAATATATGAATAAATATATTTTATAAAAAATGTATATCTATCTAGAAGTAACAGAAGTTCAAGATATTTAAAACACGTACTGTCTCTGTCGTTTCATTAGAAGATGTTGTCTCGCTAAGATCATCATCATCATCATCATACAAATCGGTAAAAGTGCCCATTATTAACGTACTTCGACGTTGAAATATTTTTGATTTACGTATTTCTCGTTTTGTTTCTTCATCATCGATAATGATATTCGATTCTTCATCCAGTATCACCTATTCATCAATACTGATAGTATAAGATATTCAAAATCTATTTCAAAATTGTACTTCATACTTTTAATTCTTTTATCCTATTCCATTGCTTATCTCCAGGTTGATCAAATAATTTTGTCACGTGTTCTATAGTTTGTACTTTTTTTATTTTAGTGCCTTTTATTTCTTTCCTTACTACAGCATTCGGTAACATTACTTTACTTTTCAATATTATATCGGTTGTTGCTCCATTTTGTGGTCTGACATAAATACTGTCAGTTGAGAAATGACACAGTATCTGAAATTATACACACGCTTAACATATATAATTTTACATCACAAAATCACCACAAAAAGTTATGCGTGTGTCAAACCTCATCTAGAATTTCCTTGATAAAATCTAATATACCACTTGCGGTTTCTTTTTCTTCATCTTCCCGATGCTTGCCCATTTTGACAACTAACAAATTTTCCATACTGTCCTTAATCCATGTGTGGACATCAAATTTTTCTCTTATCCAATCTCGATGAAGATCTACACTCTGTGTGTACATCAATATTGTCCTCACATTTGAATATCGTTTAGAAATTTCCGTAGCTGCATGTAGATTCATCTGGGTAAGCCCAATTTTGTTCTCGGATATCAATGGACTGATTTGATTTGTATCTATAAAAAGGAACATCATTTATAAATGTATTTACATGGCAAAATTCTTATGTAAATTAATATGAGCAATATTATACTAACGAAATCCATAACTATGACCCAACATGTCTAAAATTACTAAAAATTCACCAGATCGCGTCATTTCATTAAACTCTTCCCTGCTTACGAGAATATAAGCGTTACGCTCGTCATCGTCTTCGTACATTTCTTTTGTAGTATGCCAACGGCAGTATTTTACCTATAAAGTTTCATTTCACTATATTAATAATAATTCTAAAATACAAAAAAAAATACTGTAGATTACTTTGTCAGAAATTGTACGAGCCACATGCAAAGCCAATGCCACTTTCTTCATCGCCGATGGTCCTGTAAGTATTACGAGAGGAGGACTGATCTCATCGTAAGGTTCAACATGAGCATCCATCTTGTTGATATTTAAGTGTTCCAATAATGTTAATTTTGCTACTTTACAGGCAGTTATCAAATCAACTGGTGATGCGAATAACATGGCCGATTTTACCTGAAAAAATTTTGATTTTTACAGTAATTATAATGCGTGATTAACAGCTTTCATTCAAATTGTTTAATACCTTTTCCGTCGCAAGTACTTCAACACCATCGATAAATTTAACACTCGGTATGGAAAATATCAGTACATTCCGATAATTAGGCCATTTTGTGCAGGTGTTACCTTTAAAATCTACTTCAAATATTGAGCCCTTCAATTTCAATACTTCCAATAGATCGGTTATTTTATTAAATTTCAAATCTATGAAGCGTAAACTGTATGCGTCCTAAATATAATTTGATTACTTATAAAAACGAGAACTTGTAAATTTTGAGCATAATCTGCTATTAATAATTACCTTGAAGAATTCCAAATTCGACAATCTATTATACCCTAAAAATATTGTTCGCAGTTTAGACAATGTATTTATTCCACGACCAGGTGTTGCAGATTTGAACGATGTTATGCAATTGCCTTCCAAATTCAGTTCCTTTATATTTAGATCATCCAAGTTTTTGATACATTCAATTAGATTGTAAGACAAGTCCAAATATCGCAAATGTCTGTAAAAACAAAATTTGCATATTGTAAATATGCATCAATAGAATCAATAGGCATATTACACATTTACTTTAAATTTTCAAAGTCAGAGATGTTTCTTATAACATTGTGGGATAAATTTAACTTGACAATACTCCAACAATTTTTTAAATCGCCAATGTCCGTCATATGATTGTAAGATAAGTTTACATAAGCAAGATACCAAGGAGGTGTAAAATTTGATAAGTGTGTAATTTGATTATGCGATGCATTTAAATGTATTAAATAGGGAAGATGGCTTAAAGGTGATAAACAAGTAATGTTATTATAGCTGATATCAATGTACTGCAAGTATCGATGATACTGCAACATGGTGATATTTGTGAGATTCTGAAAAGAAAAAAGCAGCAGAAGAAAAATATAGCATTTATATCTATTATTAATTTATAAAAAATTTAATGTTAATTGTTATTAATTTAGTTCTCAAAATTTTTAATAATACCTTATCTTTTAGAACACATTTACTAAGAACGTAGAGGCCATTCTCAGGTGATTTTGTTAAAAAAGACGAACCAAGACTTATCATTCTGTCAGATAAAATACCATAGCGTTCCTTATTATCAAATGATATTTCGCTGGATTTTATTTGCACTACGGGTGATTTGGAATCTTCCCATAAATCTTGGTCCAAGGCATATCCTCCCCAATTGCTATCAATAATTTGCTGTTTTTGTTCATGACCAACCGATAGAAATTTCTCTCCATATGCTTCAGAATAATAGATCTTTGTGAACAATAGAATAATTTAGTCAATCTTTGAATTACAGTTTAATTAGAAAAATTGATGAACTATTATTAAAAATATACTTACAATTGAATTAATAAATGTTATTGAAGAATTTTCAACAGACAAATTTTTTAACTTGTCATATGATATATCTTCTAGAATATTTTTATGCATTTTTGATAATAAACTATTGCTGTCAATATCTCTTATATATTCATTATATTTTGTTGAAATATATATTTATTGTAATACCTGTAAAACATAATTAATATATGCATTTTATTTTAATGTAAAATATTTTTAAAATAAAAAAATAAAAATATATTACTTTAATATTAATAAAATGTAATTTGAATAAAAAATACTATGTTTTTTGTTTCTTAATTTTAGTTTATATTATAATTACTCTGAAATTGATTCCTGATCTTAGATCACATTTCAATATCTCTCATCAAAGTATAACATTATTGTACATCTTTTAATAGAAAATATTTTTTAGTTTTATAATAATAATAAAATTGTGAAAGTCGACTTTTCATATTCTTCGTTATTTTGCTAATAAGCATCATGAACATAAATGTTTATGATTGGCACTAGAGAGGCGGGTAGGTTGACCACTACTGCCATCTATGAAAGAAAGCGAATCAGCACATGAGAGAAAATTCTAGGATAAATGAGATATTGCCTTAAGACCGTTAGAAAGTCGTTGTCAAAAATCAAACATATCGTGCATGACTGCGCGGTACTCCCTTCGTTCATGCTGCGTCTTGCTTTTTGTTGCTGGTCTCAAATCTGACACACTCATCTGGCCGCATGCCTCGACAATTGTCAGTGTGTTAAACGTTACATTTTTATGGTGTTTTGCATACTTCCTAGTGGCGGAGTGAAAACGTTGTGTCAAATAACGGTAAATATCATTTAATATCAATTTAAACTATATTTCTAACACAGAGATCTTACAATTGATTTACTTATTGATCGCACAAAAGAAAGTCAACAAATCTGCTCTGGAAAGCGACCGTTATAACATGTGACGTATCAACGTATATTTCTACCTTTGTTAATTGTAATATTAATTACATTGAAGAGCTGTAACGATTATCATACAATAATCTTCATAAAATATAAATAAAACATCAAAATAAGTAAAAAAAATTTTCAGATAAACCTGCAAATCTGTATTTGAACTTCGAGGATTGTATTGTTACTCAAATATCTTCAAGAAAAAATTAAACTACAAAATGCCACCAGTGTCAATTCGAAAAGCTAAGAAGGTTACTGTGCTTACTAAAAGGACACAGCACTTGAGAAAATATTTTAAGGAACGATCGCACAAACCATGTAAGAGTTTAATCTTCTATTAATTATATGTTTCATATTTTCCTCAGCAGATTATTATGTTACTAACATTATTTATTTCTAGTATTTGACAAATTAAAGAGCAACAATAACTATCTGGCTAAGGCACTTGCAAATGAGAAACAAAATAATCAGTCGTTATTCTCACAAAATCTTGCTCTAATTGCAGAAGTTCAAAACTTAAAGCTAGCATGCAACAAACGAAATGTAAGCATTATTTATATCAACAAGTAAAAAGTCAGATTGCAAGACGATAATTCTATGGAATATAAATTTATTTATATATATTATGTTTGTTTCAGAGTTTAATTTCAAATGTGGTAAATAACGCAAAAGAAATGTTGAAAATGGTAGTTACTATGTCTAGTTATGTAACAAATACTATCTCTATGTGTCAAGAACTTACCAGCTCTGACACTACTGCAAGATTGTCATCTACTTCAAATGGAAGTAAGTAATTAGATATTTTATGTCTGATTTTTGTATTACATCTTTACATTTTAGGAAAAGAATCTTTTAAGAGACTGTCAAAATCGCCAACTAAAGGTGTGGTGAAACCTATGGTGGGTGGACACACTATTACAAAGCCTACAATTAATTTGAGCCGTGTTAATATATCAAGACTAAGTAATATATCAGAAGTCTCAGAAATTTCACCTAATAACAGTCAAGAGATAAATGCAGAGAGATCTCCTATTATTCTTCCATTACCAACTACACCACTTAGATGTGTAAGTATATGTATTCTATTTTTTCCACACATGTATACAATTATTGTATTTTACATATATATATAATTATTTTAGGAAAATAGTCGTGCATGTAGAATGCCAGAAAGAATAACTGTCTCTTCGCCCAGGATTAGTGGTACGTATTATTTTATGTTTAATTGTCTAACTGTAATAAATCATTCGTTTAATTATTGTAATTATTAATGTTTTTAGATACGCTTCCTAATGAACCAAGAAGAAGAAGAAGGAGTCGTCATTCGAAAAATCTATCAGAATCTTATTCCCGGTCGCGATCAAATAGGTGGTCTGAAATCAATGAAACTCCGAAAAACTGTTCAGGACATATAAATATAGGTAGTCCTACAGTCAAGCTGAAGGACGTTTCAAAATTGCTTAAGGATTCACATACTATTAACATCAGGAGGGTGAGTGCTTTATCTATACATATAAGACTGCCATGTCTAATACAATATTTAGAAATATTGTAAAATATTTAGAATACTTAGAAATATTGAATTTAAATTATTAATACGGCATTGTTGTTTCCACAGCTAATTGACAGCAAAATTGAAGATATTGAGATTCAAGAGAGTAGTGATGAAACGCCTCATAACACGCCCAATAAAAATGCAATATTGCCAGAGACCCAGATATCTATTAACTTAGATGATGATGAAACATACGCACACAAATCGAAGAAAGAGCCCAACGTACAAACGAATAGCAAAGGATCTAACAAAGATTTTAATAGAAGTTTGAGCATGATGGAAATCTCAAGAGTTCCGCAGAGTAGCGCTAGAAATTGGGAAGAAGACCCACTAGAAGGTCCAAGCTGGTTATTTAACAACACTGTAACCATGCCATCGCGAGATAACGAGCCGGAAGAGCTCGGTCATCTAAATATTTCCGACGTCAACAATAATACAGCTCAAGTAGTATATGACGACTCGAGCGATGCAGAAAGCGTGGAAGAATCATCACTGCCAAATTTAACCCAGTTTGCGAATAGTACTCAAGGTTTAGAGAGAAACGCACCATTCGTTTGTCGCAGCAAATATGAATCGTTTTCGGATTACCATGATGCAGACGATAATTTTCATGTAACAGCAGCAGCTGTATCTACCCGTGAAAAATTTAGTACAGAAAATAATGAGGAAGATAGTATGGCAAGCTTTGTTACGATTAGGCGAGGACATTCCAAGCTAGAAGATGAAACCGAAGACTTTACATTAATGTTGCGTCCAATGAAATCAAAGATGCAATTCGACATTAACGAGCTACGGTTGCCGGAGGAAGAATGCACAATCAATTCCACTATTGACCATGACACCAGTGCAGTAATGAATACTCCAATCTCGTCTGTGTCGAGTGTAAATCTAAACGATTCAAGAAACGATCAAGTTACAATGAAATCGTCAACAGTTCTAATCGATAATCACGAGAAAGCATCCATCGTAACATTGGAGCAGAAAAGTCATTCAATTAAAAAGAGTAAAAAGACGAAAGCACCGAATCTGAAAGACGAAATAAATAACGCTGAAAATTCAGTTTCGACATTTAAGAACAAGAGAAAGCAATGGAATGATTGGGAAAGTAATCGAGATCCAAGCGCAGCAAAAGTAGTTTTAGAGAAGCTCAACGAATCTCGTGTTAAACCGAAGATCGATGATGCAGAATCTCGAAACTCCCACAATAATCATATGTACGTATAATTGCAAATTATTACGAGCTATTGTAAAATCTCTGCGAATTGTAAATTACATGCTTTCAATGTTTCGAATGCAGGAGAGATGCTACGTCTCATCTAGAAGAAAGCTCAGGAGAATCGGAGAGTAGCCATGGCCCAAGTTGTCCCAAACGAAGGAAAGCACCGATAAGTTTGAAAGAACCGAGTTTAAAAAAGTAAATAAAAATCTTGCTTAGGCCGAATAAAATATACGTAATAAAATTTAATCTAATTAAACATTTGAATAATGTACTTTTTTTTCTTCTAGGAAATTAAGGCGAAATCAATAAGAATACTAATGTGGATAAAGAAATTTTTAAAAAATTACTCGAATCGTACATCGATATCGATGCTTCTACTGAATACTGTTTTCTTTTTTATATCTATAACTCAACTTTCAGTTAACTTCGGAATGTGTATAAATAGATCTAATATATGTACGAATTTTATTAGAATAATTGTCAAATATTAAAGATTACCGTGTTATCTGATGATACAAAGACTAATCATCGATGTGCGATATGTTAAGCTTTGCGTCGCTAGCATAATACCGTTAATGTATAACCGTGTATCAGATAACACAGTTAATCTTTAATATTTAATAATATTATTTAATAATATTATTATAATATGATATAATATATATTATTATAATAATAATTATAATTATTAAATAATATTATTTAATAGAGTAATTATAAAAGAATACATTCCACTAATTCTGGGTGAAGAGACAATTATTCTTTCTGGTATTCTACATGCACGACTATTTTCCTAAAATAATTGTACATATATAAAATACAATAGTTGTACATATATATGTAGAAAAAGTAAAATATATATACTTACGTATCTAAGTGGTGTAGTTGGTAACGGAAGGATAATGAATGATTTCTCTTCATTTAATAATATTAAATAATAGTCAGATACTTTGCTACTTGTTTGAATATTGGGCTCTCTGATTTGTGTAGTTGGTAACGGAAGAATAATGTGGTCTCTTCTCATTTAATAATATTATTAATAATATATTAAATGGAAGAGAGATCATTCATTATTCTTCCGTTGCCAACTACACAAACCGAAGAAAGAGCCCTATATACAAATAAGTAGCAAAGTATCTGACAAAGCTTTTAATAATATTTTCTTCCGTTATTCTTCTGTTACCAACTTCACTTAATGTTAGATGCATAAGTATATATATATTCCACTTTTTCCACACATGTATGTACAATTATTGTATTTTATATATATATACACAATTATTTAGGAAAATGGTTGTGCATGTAGAATGCAGAAAAAATAACTGTCTCTTGCACTCAGAATTAGTGATATGTATTATGTATGTATAGTATGTATGTTTATAATTATTCTTCCGTTACCAACTATAATTTAATATTATTTAATAATAATATTAACTGTAATAATAATACTAACTGTAATAATAATACTAACTATATTAATGATATTAACTGTAATAATAATAATAATGTTATTATTATTAACTGTATTTTCAGCGTTATTTATTTCGTTTTTCAGATTAGTTTAATTAGATTTATTAATTAGATATAATTAATTATTTAGATCAAATTATATCTATGTAATATCTTCTTTTTATAAAATAGTGTAAAATATTGCATTTTTTGTGTTACTGATTTTGATAAACATAATTGCGCTAAAATTAGTTTTCTCTATTCTGTAAAAATTTTATTTACGATTGCAATCGTGAATATATATTTCTAATATATGTTAAAATAACCTGAATTTTATTTGTATCTTTTAAAGAAATATTGCCATTAGTATGTTGCATTTATTATTTTTATTTCGCCAATCATCATATTTGTTTCCCTACAGTTTTCGAATCGTCACCAGTCATGTTTCACACACCGCAGTGAATCGCTGCATTCGAATCGTTCCATATTTCCGACTTTGTTATTGTTTAAAAGTACATCTTGCGTAAAAAAATTATTGTGAGTGTCGCGTAAATGTGTTCGAATGTCCGTATTGCATTAAACATCGTCTACAACCACTTATATTGTAATTTATGTGTCGACTATTATTGTGTGTCCGGAGTTCATCTTCATTCCGGAATCGTCTTCAATTCAAGTTATTTTCTCTTCATCAAAGTACATGGAAAATGCAATTCAAATTTTATGTTTGTGTAATTATTATGCTATATGTTGACACTCTCAATTATATTGCTATGTTTTATTTAAGAGTTCATAAAATTGTTTTTTTCGGTTGAAATATTCATTTAGCAATATCTCAGAAATGTGTATTTTGGCAGAGTATCATTATTGCTATATGTTGACAATTCTAATACTTTAGGATTTTCAATAATCTTCAATCATTTTGATACTTTGCTACGAATTGCATTTGCATCATTCCGTATATTCAACAATTATTACTGTTTAAAAGTTAGTTCTACAATAAATTATTATATTTTATCTTTTTTTATATATTTTCTTATTTATTTTTTACATAATCTCTTTATCAAATCGTGTTTTATACAATTAGCAATAAATTTGAGCCAATGCAATTATTATGTTATCAATAGGTATTGCAGTTATCCCCTTTTTATCATTATGTAATAATATAAATAGTCTATTTATCGATTGCGCAAATTTTAAACATTTATACCCACTAGATGGCTTTAGTAGCGTGTAAAAAAAAAGATGTACGATACGCGGAGTGTTTTATTTAAGAGTTCATAAAATTGTTTTTCTTTTTCAGTTAAAATTTTCATTTCACCAATATCTTAAAAGTGTGTACTTTGCTAGAATGTCGTAACTTTGAGCAGATGTATCTTTAATCCTTTACCCATCATACCATACATCTCCCAGATAAATATTATTTCACACCTATATGCATTGTTAGGTTAACACAGATTTCAAATATTGTTCACTCGTTTGTTTTACAATAGAACAGACTTGATGGCCAAAGTATTATTATTTTCTCTCTCTTTCTATATGTATTCTGTATTTTCGAATTATTTTTCTCGGCGTTTGGAAAAATACTTAACGTCGCAACGCAGCTTGGAAAAGTACCGACCGCAACACAAAATTAAATGCGAGGTGAAACTGTTCCACTCGGCTCGCGAAATGATTGATCGCCGTCGGAAACAGCCAGCAGCTTTCGTGCGCAAATAAAAAGGCTTGGCCTCCGTGTACTCGAGTAGTATTATATATGTAATGGATTTAACCTTCCGCGCACTTCCACGCGAGAGTGCGAATAAGCGCGCGCGCACGGGGGCGGAAATTAATTATGTTTGTTTAATTTCGAGATGAAAAAAGCTGCTGGCTCTGCCTCGCCCTTGCGGCGTCCGTGCGGCTTTGATTCGAGAAACAGAGAAACAAAGATAACGGGAAAAAGAAAGAATGAAAGTCAGAATTTATTTTCTTAATTGCCTTTTTCTGTGCTTAATTAACTCTTTAACTAAAATCTCTTCCAAAAATGCTAATATAAATATGATCTCTGAGATTTATCAGTATTTTTACTCGTTGAAATATAATAAAGTAAGAATGATGTTATTAATTAATACACGTAGCTTATAAAGATAATTGCAAAATTTCGCATTTAATGAATAATTCAGTCGTATTCAATTTTGAAAGAGTGTAACTTCGACAATCTGTCGTTTCATTTATTGTTGATATTTCTATTTATAAAAGCATCAAAGAATTCAAAAGCTTTGAAAAAAATGTAATTAAATTTTAAAGAAATATAACTTCCTATTCTAAATATAATTTTTTTGTCATTCTTTAATAATTTCGTTATCCAAACTGTTTCAAATCATAAATTACTGTTAAGTCTCGGAGATCGATGCTTCGGTTTAAAGATGAAAATGCAAGACCATCGCAATTATGTGTACAATTATTTTACTCCGAAGCCACTTGTAATGCAATACATTGCGGAAGGATATTCGCGACATAATCAATCGTTACATCATGCCGGTGCAACATGAACCATAGATCGTTATACTCACACTCGCATGCGCGGCCTGATATCGACAACGTGCCATCAGTCACATTGCAACACAGTATGTTTGTTGCTCTCGCTGTTTATGCTGGATATCAGCATTTCGCTCTCGCATTTCCCTGCGCATGCTGGAAAATAGAATGAAATCAGTATAGTAAGCATCTTATTAGCTGTATATCAACGTTCTATGAGTTATTCAACAAAGAATATGAGATTATTCTCATGTATCTTTGACATACGCGTCAATTTTTGAAAAATAAATAACTTGCACATTGAATCGTGTGTTTAACAGAGAAAAATTCCTTTTTAAAGACTCTCGTCAGCGATGTCAAAACTCTTTCTAAAAACAAAATTTCTTATTAAAAATATTAAATTTTATTTTCGTAAATATATATATTTCTCATTTATGATAAATATAATATTTATCATATTTTGTACGCGCAGCCTAAGAATCCAAGAACGGAAAATTTATCGTAGAGTGCAATAACATTTACGACTTTCGGTATCGCCTTTCTCTAAACAAATGACTTGAAATATAATAGCTCAGCAAATAGCGCGCGCACGTCCAAAATGTTCCTTGCTCTAAACGAAACAGTAACTCGATTTTCCTGGAAAAGATTCAGAGAATAATCGTCACACGAAACGATCAAAAGATCTTTCTCGGGAAAGCGCATGCAGCCGGCGGAATGCAGTAAAATGCGAGTTTGTTCATAAACACATTCGAGTAATTTGTGCTCCGAAATTCAGGTACACAAGTGTTCCGTCTTTATTATTATAAATTCACTTTCTGTTATACGCTCAGCTTAATTAGTATAGGAAAAAGATAAATAGATAATAAAAATGTTTGTCTCACAAATTCTCACACATATAAAATGTCAAATAGTAATAAAAAAAATAGATTAATTAAATAATAAAAGTATTAATCATAAAAATCTTTACAAGTTATAAAGTGCTAATTAACACAGATTGATACACAAAATTAGATAAGCATTTGTAAATTCATATGCGTGTTTATTTCAGGAAACCTATGTGCACATATTAATAAATTGAAATTTCTCGCTTTTAATTTTTTTAAAACTGTAACAACATTCTTGATAAATATGTAAACTGAATTGTTGATTTATCTGCAACTGTCATAGACGTTCATAAAACTTGTTTGGTCGATTACGTTAACCGAGAACGATAATGACGAAGACTTCGATCGCCCTGAAAGGCGTTCGATGCATCGCAGACGCAATTGCATAAGATGTAGACGGACAATTACGTAGCGTTATGCAGTACAAGCGTATGATAGCGTGAAACAATTGAGATTAGTGCTCACTGATACGCTTTTATGCAACCGGTATTAGTATTAATGTGCCAAGTGGAGTAATCAAATAGCAATTCTCGTATAAAATTACATTTATCAGGAGGGAAAACGTTCGAAATTCCATGCTGAAAGAATGTGCACATAGAAATTTTTCGTGGTGAAAACAACTTTCTATGTCCGATAAAAATATCGGGCAAAATTCAATTATCAATTCAATAATTATGATATCAAACTTTTATTGATTATTATATTTGTTTATTTTCTAGGTAATAAAATTTCTTCTCTTTTTGAAGACATTTTTATTATCACTGCAAACTTTTCGAAAACTTTATATTTCGTATGAAGTGCGTATACGCGCGTTTAAAGTCGTGTGTGATAAAACGAGACAGCAATAGATCTACAGCCACGTGGGAGCAGGATAACGAATGTAAAGCATCATTTCCACTTTATATATATATAAATATCTGAATCGTTGTATTAAAAAAATGTATTATTACGCAAAACACGTTTCATCGTTACTGTTTACGTCCCGAATCGCTCTTTTTTTAACGTTCTACAGCTTCGCCAAGCTCCTGACAGCTCGCGTGTCGACGTTGTTCCGAAATTCTCTCGTTGGAGTCGCACCTTAATCCTTCGGTACCGGCTTCGGTTCAAACACTCCCTCCACCGGCGCGAACGTCCGGAGTTGCGCGTGCGTTAGCTAGTTCTCAGTAGCGCCGATCGGCCGGCCAATGGCGAGCTCCCAAGTACGTCATCGCCGGCGAATCGTCGCCTTCGGCAGTGAGAACATCGCTATATTTAGCCGACGTGACTCACGGGATATAAGCGAGTACGTTTAGTTGGGTGTTCACAAGTTGTCGGGCCATCGTGGCGCACGGGTAATCCGCGTTCGCTCACTCGCGAACTCGCTGTGCTTCGTAACAGAAAGAGAGAGATAGATAGACGGCACACGCGCAACGCGGTCCGTCACGTCGTGAGTCATTGTTGTGTTGACAGTCGAAGCAGGCGGCTCGTGCTCGTCGCGTATCGGTTCCGCAATTGCGGTGTCGGAGCAGCGCCGATGCATTAAACGTCGTAGCGACGTGTCTTTTGCGTTGAACGTGGCCGAGCGGCGGATATCGCGAGTACACAGTGTCGTCAGCGGCTTTAGCGCAACATACCGAGTGTATTTGTGAGGAAGAATCGGCGGACAGGGGCGACGTGCGCGTCGCACACGAAGAAACAGTCGCCGCTGGTGAATTTTTTGCGTGTAGCCGCGCGCGGTTATGTAATCGCCGTAGCGCGGAGCGAAGTGTTTGCGCGTGACGTAGCAGAGAAGGAAAGAGAGAGAGAGAGAGAGAGGGAGAGTACAAAAGAAGCGAAGCGGAGGAAAAGAAACGAAAAGAAGAAGGAAAACGTCGTCTCGTATTATAATTCACGCGCAATTATAATAACGCGCACACAATCCGACGTTAGAATTCTTGGCGTTGAACGTGAAAACTCCGGAATCTCGTTCCACGTTTCGCTGTTCGGGTTCGACAGGCGAGCGGTCGCAACTAGTGCGGGGGGGACCGCTTTCCCGTCCGGAGGCGAGAAACGGACCGAGTCCGATCGGTACACGAGGGAGAGACCCTCGGTATTCCATCGAAAGGCAGTTAATCAGTCCGACGGCATCGATGGTGCGCAGCCTGACGATGGAGCAGACGTTCTACGAGGACGCGAGCATCTACGGCGCGATGAACGGTCGCGAGAACAGCATGGGCCAGTTGAAGCGGAATCTCACGCTCGACTTGAACGGTTGCCAGCGACAGGGTCCGCAGGCGAAAAGGCCGCGGCTCGGCCCGCTACCGCCGACGCTCAACAACGTCACGCCGATTCTGACCTCGCCGGATCTCAACATGCTGAAGCTCGGCTCCCCGGAGCTGGAGAAATTGATTATGGCGCAGCAAGACACCTTGAACAACATACCCACCCCCACGAACCAGATCCTGTTCCCGAGGGTTGTTACCGAGGCGCAGGAACTGTACGCGCGCGGTTTCGTCGACGCGCTCAACGAGCTGCACCACTCCGACAGCTCGCAGGAACCCGGCAGCATTCACGGCGCGACCTACACTACCCTGGAGCCGCCCGGCAGTGCGCAGAGTACGACAGAATCCACCCTGAGCAATCCGGGCGCTATGGTGCAGGTGAAGGACGAGCCGCAGACGGTGCCGAGCGTGTCGAACACGCCGCCGATGTCGCCGATCGACATGGAGAACCAAGAGAAGATCAAGCTGGAGAGGAAGCGGCAGAGAAACCGCGTGGCCGCCTCCAAGTGCCGACGGCGCAAGCTCGAGCGCATCTCCAGGCTCGAGGACAAGGTCAAGCTGCTCAAGGGCGAGAACACCGAGCTGAGCGGCATCCTGAACAAGCTCAAGGAGCACGTGTGCCGGCTGAAGGAGCAGGTGTTGGATCACATGCAAGCCGGCTGCCAAATCGTGACCGTCAGCGGCCACTTCTGAAGCTCTCGGATTCCGCCCCCTCCCCCTCCTCTGGCCCTCTTGCTGAGGTTCCTGATAACGTGCTCATCGTCTTCTTGCCTCTTTGCATAAATTTCCACGAAGAAACACTGAACTTTCATCAACGATTGCGGACCCGTCGCTCCATGTCGTTCGCAACTTTTCGGGCAAGATCTTTGTTTGTACGACTTACGTGGACTTATTGTTTTTCAAGGATATCGCGAAAATGTTTAGAAACGTTTTCTTTTTCTACCTGCCTAAACTTTAACGATATCTACGAGAGGATTCTTTCTCTACGCATACCAAACCGGAACCAAATATCTCTACAAAAACTAATCGGAAAGAAGCATTATCGTCGGGAGATTAAGTGTGCCCACCATCGCCATACCGGGAAAACCCTGTGAAGGAAAGAACCTTGAGAACGAAGAACAGGATTAAATCAATCGTCCAACGGTTTTTTTCTCGGTTCTTTTATGACATGTCTGGGCAAAGGCGACAGTAAAGAGCAGCGAGCAGGCGAGCGAGCAGGCGAGCGAGCAGGCGAGCAAGCAAGCAGACGCAGCGGGAGGGAAAAGGAGGTGGTAGTCGCGGCGGAGAAGGAGGAAGGAGTGCCTTCGTATAGACGTGAAACGTAAGGATGCGTTTGGGAGAGTGGCGGGCGTGCGCGTTTGCGTGTTGCGCGCATGCGAGGGACTTTACACGCACGGCCACGCTCGGCGACGGGCGAGTGCGTGCGTCGTATGCGTGAGAGAGCGAGAGAGAGAGAAAGAGAGAGAATGAGAGAGAATGTATGCGTGTGTGAAAGAGAAAGAGAGAGAAAGAGGGAGCGGTAGCGCGAGAGGGGGGAAAGTACCGCGGCGGCCATTCTGGAGAACGCGAGACAGCCGACGGGTGATTCGGATCTACCGGAGGCTGAAGCTTTTCTTGCTCTTCTTCTTACCGTCGCTATCGGTAAGAAGAAGCGATCGTCGTTGAGCGGCTCGTAATCCCGCTTTCACGACCCTCGAACGCCCCTTTGTATTTTTCGAACGAAATCGACATCCCGATTTCGGTCATTGTAAAATCTGACGATTTGTAAAATTGTACAATTTGTAGACTTGACTTTTGTAAAGCAACTCCTTTCTTTCTTGACGCTGAACGGCAAACGCCGTCTCTGTTGTTTATCGCGGACTTGCGATCTCGTATCGATTTTGCTGTACATTTCAGCAAGAGGCATTCGCTTTGCGAATGACGCGAGTCAAGAACGTTTCCTTTCGGAGATCAGCCATCGTTGCTGAATACGCGCGAAATAATAATTTTCTTGCACTCTCCATTTTCGGCATTTTGTCAAAGCGAACGCCTCGGGCAAGTCGCGAGTATTTGTACATTTGTCGAGTATTGACGGCCCTGATCGGGTCTTGTTATCTCCTTTTGAGAAAACGGAAGATAATGTGTCCTTCGAACGCAGACAAAAATGTGTGTCTTGTGGATCAATAAAGAAAAAGAGGGATCACCTTTTCTGGCGCGATTTTATGCCGACAGCCGCGCGACGGACTACTTGTGATAAGCGCAATCAAACCGGGAGATCACGTTTGCCTTGTATCCCGAATGCAATTTCGTGAGCGTCGAGAGACTCGAGCATTCCGCTAGTTTTGGAAACTTTCTAGACTTTGGTGCATACGAATTGACAAATTAATTCTAAGGAGTACGGTGCTGTAATATAGCCGCGCAAAAAAAAAAACAGGACAGTCTGCAATAACGCGTTTTCTGTGTTGGACGATAGAATCGATCGATGATGACTATTAAGCGTTCCTTCCAAAAAATGTGTTTAATTTATTGAGTTTGTTTAATATTGAATTTTTATGAAAATATATATTTCTTTCTGTTGAAGAAAGCCAAGTTTTTGAAAAAACTATAAAAATATTCTTTTAATTGAGGATAGCGAAAAAAAAATGACGTTTCCAATTTATAATTTTACGGCAAACTTGTATATTTAAAAAATTTTTAGATTGTTATGATTGTAAAAGTATATAAAAGAATAATTGTTTTATCTTATCTATGTTTTGTCTATCAATTGATTGAAAGATTATCCGAATAACGATAATATTTATCGTGTGTTTAAAAAGTGTCGGCAGAAGACGCGTTCACTATGACTACAACCTAGCGCATTGATCCATCGATATTTCTCCGACGTGCCTCGTTCCGTCGTTTCGACAGCAACGCGTTGATTGCATGTATCGAAGTGGCCTCGTTTTAACCCTGCTTTTGAAAGAACTAGCGCTATTAAGGCTGTACAAATAGAATAGTGTTCGGGGAGCAGTCGCTCGCGTTGAACTTGTCGAAGGATCGTCATCCCGGGGCGAAAAGGATGGGCGCGGTATACGTTCGTGGCGAAGGACAGTCTGTGCTAATTAATCTGATTGTGCATAATTATCAACATATTTAAAAAGAGTAATGGCAAAAGTAGTCACACATAATTATATGATCGATCGATCATATATGTCACGACAAGATTTAAAAAATTTTTGCACTCTGCATTCATATTTTTCTCGCTTTAGTTTTAATTAATCAAATTATTTTATTCAACATGAACCATCTTTTTCTTCATACGCAAATATATTAATTGCAATGCAACAATCATATAATCTGTGAAAATTTTGCAGTTTTTATCATCCAGTAAAATTCGACAAACGATCGATAAACTTTCTATCTACTAGAATTGCAAATGTTAATACAAGTTTTAATATAGTTGCGTGTAATTATATTTAATTATATTAAAATATATAAAATTAAATTATATTTCATTATGTTTAAATTCAGAGCACGTTAATACTGTTTCTTTTCTCAAATAAAATGCACAGTTTGTCCATATCACCGTGATTGGTATACCGCATCCGTTTGCGCGACTCTCCGGGAAACCCCGAATCTTTCCCTTAGCTCTTAAGCCGGAGACGATCAGCGGAGTAGTCACGTTCTCCTTGGTTCTACCGCGTAGAACACAATTTCGTCATATGTGCATCTAGTCTTGTCCAGTATGCCCTTGTAATTTGCGCGCAATATGTATGCGCGCAGTCGCATACACACCACACACATACATACACACAGGATACTCACGGGTCCGAAATACACGTATATTATACATATGGTGGTCGCCGCAACCGCGTTCACCGCGTGTTACACGAGCCGCGCGGCGTCGACAGACGTCGCGACGGGTACGCGTGGCCCGACGTAGGTTCTACGCGGCATTGGCCGCCACACTGGAAACGTCCACACTGCTCGAATATACATTTTTCTTAAGACGCAAGTATACCGACATTCGCTATTGTATCTTTATACATTTGTAACATACGCGGCCGTATGATATATTTTAATACGAGGATCGTAGGCTTAATCCGAGAATGCTCGCTGCACGCAAGCTATCGTTATCGCGACAGCTCGATATCGGCAATAAATAAACTCCCCGCCCCGGATGTCCAGCTTAATCTCTCCGTTCGATTCCGTGTAGAGTTATTTGTAACGTAAGACTTTTTAAGCAAACTTTATTAATGTAGTTCTTTTTTTTCGCAACGCATATTCTATATTCGAAAGAATTTTAGATCACAGATATGTGTATCGAACGGAAAGATTAAAAGTGGAATACCTTGTAGAGGGAAGCGAGCAATAAGACAAAATAATGTTACCTCCGTTTTGCGCATTATCTTGTAAGCGGCGGATATATGAGACGGATTGCGCGCGATCACGAAGAAAAATACAAACTTATACGGAGAAAAATCACGATTTATCGCGCTGTATCAGCCGTGCCGTTGTGCAATTCTTCGCAAATAATGTCCTCGTCCCCGTAATTTCGCCTGAGAATTCCGAGTTTCTCGGGCGAATCGTCAACGTGTAAAATTCTCAAGGAAACGATTGTTATAAAAAAAAAAACAAACAAGTTGATGACAAAGAGATGATATTTATAGAAAGAATATGTATTGTATAAATATATTTTGTTGTAATTTTTTACAAGATATTTTAAAATCATACGAGGAAATAAAATTGACATTTGGTTAAAGTAAAAAAATTATGTAAATCTTTCACGATTTTGTCGCTCGACAAAACACACGTATTTTTCTTCGTGCGGACGTTGCGTAACGCCGTCGCGAAATCTAGCGGGTGTGCATGGCGTGAGCGAACGGCGGACCACACCTATCGATTTATTCGCGATTTAAGACTCTTGTCTTCGATATATTGGGAGGAAATATATTCCGCTGAGAATATTGTCGAGCAATTGCTATTTTAGGATAAACGACCATAAAAACGAGCGTCAATTCCAAATGAATAAAAATCTTTTTTCTGATGCTCGATTTTTCGTTTTTCATATTACGCGAGACAATTTTTAGACGCGACAATGGAGCTTCAATCAAATTAATTAAGCGATAGACGAATCAACCCTCTTGACGAAATTTGCGATCGATCTTTTACATTTTCAAACGCATATTTTATCGATTCGAGAAGAAAGAGGAGCAGGACACTGAAAAAAATCTGTGCGAAACTGCGCGCTTGCTTAATTCTTGCGATTACTATTGACCTCGTTTTCTCTCTCTTCATACTTTTTTTTTTTAACATTGACCCGTAACACAAGAATGTTAAGATGTATTTATTTCTTAAGATTAATCCTCCGATGCTCGCAACAATCATGATGATAGTATTATGCGGGAAAAATAGATTAAGCAAATGTTTTCAACAGATTTCACGGATAAAAATAATTTTTATAATAATGATTTTATGATTCGATAATTTGATTATTATAATTTATCAATTTTGAGATTTATTTTGAACTGGTGCAAACAAATATTGGATCATTGGATTATTATAAATGATTATTGTGAAAACTTACATACATAAATTAGTGACGAGTAACGGTGGATTAAATACGCGCTGTTTCCTCTCGCTTGAATTCACACTGTATTTATTCGTCGCGATGACACCCAATCGTCGCTTCGTACTCTCGATCGCAGAATCTCGACTCGTGCTCGAGCTGTTCGGGCAAAATTTTGAACGAGGGCGAGGCAGAAGCGCGTGTGCCTCTACCTCGCCCATCTGCAATTTAACCCTTTGTGATTCGATTCGACAAACATAAAAATATTCTATTTTAGAGATGAAATTGTTTTCAACGTTTGCAGTTGAAAATTTGAACAAATGTAAAATATGTACACGTATCTCGATATGGGATCGCAAAGGGCTAAAATCAAAGGGAATTCTTCGTCCGTATTTTTGTCGCGCATTTAGCGTTAAATATATAGCTGACAGAGTTTTATCTAAATGTGCCGTTAAATAAGTACGGAAACAGGCTCACGAGTACGAACCAGACGTTCATATGCACGGCGTGCCTTTTTTTTCCCCGAGTTAATCGTGCGAGCGACACTTTTCAAGGGCATGCGCCTTTTTTCAGGGCGTTAAGGCGGGCGAGGAGAGCGGTGGCGCAAAATGCAATGAAAGTAATAAAAACCACATGTGATTTAGTCAGTAAGCGAAAAAACCCCCATTAGAGTATAATATCGCGTGGCGGGGTGTTGTGCGGTGGTTAACGACGCCCGTGAAAGAGAGATAGAAGAAATACACACATACACTCATACACGCGCGCGCAATAGATTTACGTATAACATTAAACATGAGAGTATATAAATATTGCTATTATAAAATGTAATAATATTATATATATATACACATATATATATGTTATATATTGTCTACCGACAGAGCGAAGAAATCTTTTTTTACGAATAATTTTATTTTTGAATGAACGACGAAATAAAATTTCAATATATTAAATGTAATCAGGTTGCGTGGCTTCTTTTCCTGTCCCTGATATATTTTTTCTTTTAGTATTTAATTTAGTATTTAATGGTTAAGTCATAATTACTCTTCCACGTGACTTGCAAACATTTTAATCCTCGAACGCGCTTATAACGATACTTGCGAATATCGTATTTGCGAAGATAAACTGCTACATTTCCGTTTCTGGAGACTAAAAGCAGAGACCGAAGAGCGAAGGATAATGAAGCTAAATTCCAATGTAAAGAGACTGTACTCCCTCCCCTCTGTCCGTGTTAATTATTGCAATTGGCTAATTGGCTCAATTGGGAAAGTTCTCGGTACAAATTAAAATCGGCGAGCACGGTTTTAAAAGTGCTCTAGTTATTGGGACGACCTTTCATTCCGAGAATCTCTTTTTAACGAACGCTAATTTGGGTTTTATTTTCCTTAAGAGCAACGTTTTATATTGAAACAAAAACATCGCTAGAAAAGAATCTCTTTAATTTAATTATATAATATAAAAACTAACGATCATACACAACACACTGTGTTTTTATATTGAAGAAAAACTATTATGTACTGTTATGTATATATAATATTACGTAACTTTATGAAACAGGTATATACATATAGATTCAGTGGTCATTCACTGATGGAAATGTATGTACATGAGTATAGTCTTTTTACTAATATCAGCAAATTTGCGATAATACTTTCAACCTTGTTTCAGGCAACGCTTTAATCAGCTCTTTTACTTTCGCTTGGTCATTACGTTTGCGCAAATTGTGAACGTACAACTGTAAAACTTTATTTGAACTTACTTTCATTGATTGGCACGCCCATTAATGCCTAATGTCATTAAGGCAAGGTTACTTTTTTTAGATACCCCAAATCGACATATAATTACTCTTTTTGAAATAGTTAGCAAACTCCTAAATTACGACATAAAATTTTCGCTCGTACTTCAAATAGTAACGATACGTTTCATATACACATCTGAGGAAAAATACTGATTTTACAATTGTGGAGAGAAATGATTTATGTACGATACGCGAGGATTCTTCAAAATATTT